ATGCTCGTGAAATCGCTCAAAGAGCAAGACCACGTCATACACCTCCAGGAATGTTTCGAGAGGCTCAACCTTCATAACATGAAGTTGAACCCGGCAAAGTGTCGGTTTGCCGTTGCGTCTGGAGAATTTCTAGGGTACCTCGTCACTTACCGCGGAATCGAGGCTAACCCGAAACAAATCACGGCGCTAATAGAGATGGCCTCTCCCAGGACGAAACGCGAAGTACAAAGACTGACCGGCAGGGTCGCAGCACTTAACCGTTTTATCTCGCGATCAACGGACAAATGTCTACCTTTCTACGAGACATTAAAGGGAAACAAAAAGTTTGAATGGTCAGAGGAATGCGAGAAGGCTTTCCAACAGCTGAAACATTACCTAGCTACCCCGTCAGTACTCGCGAAACCCGTAGAAGGAGAACCATTATTCCTCTATATCGCAGTATCAACGACCGCCGTAAGTGGCGTCCTTATCCGGGAAGAACGCGGCGAACAAAAGCCGATCTTCTACGTAAGTAAGACACTACTGGACGCGGAGACACGATATCCGATGATGGAGAAATTGGCTTTGGCCGTGGTCATGTCCGCAAGGAAACTTAGACCGTATTTCCAATCTCACACCATCGTCGTTCCCACTTCATTCCCTCTCCGCACCATTTTGCACAGTCCCAGCCAATCGGGAAGGTTGGCAAAATGGGCGATCGAGCTGAGCGAGTACGATATTGAATATCATTCAAAGACTTGCGCGAAATCACAAGTGCTCGCAGACTTCATAGTGGAACTCCCGACGGGAAGCACGTCCAACCAAGAGCCGAACTCGACCTGGATCTTGTACGTTGACGGATCCTCGTCCAAACAAGGTTCTGGGATTGGCATCCGACTCGCATCCCCAACAGGAGAAGTATTGGAACAGTCATTCCGATTGATTTTCCACGCTTCAAACAAAGAAGCCGAGTATGAAGCCTTGATCGCAGGACTACGATTAGCTCACAGACTGAAAATTCGTAACCTTCACGCGTATTGCGATTCCCAACTAGTAGCTAGCCAATTTAGCGGGGAATACGAAGCAAGGGACGAAAGAATGGAAGCGTATCTGATCTTGGTAAAAGGTCTAACTCAGAAGTTCGATCAATTCGCTTTGACTAGAATTCCCCGAGCAGAGAACGCTCAGGCAGACGCTTTGGCCGCCCTAGCATCCAGCTCGGATCCTGGTATGAGCAGGGTAATTCCCGTTGAATTTAT